ATGATGTATAGACATTTCTGTCAGGGCTCTGTCTTCAGCACTGTTAACATCTGCTACAATTCTGGTAATAAAACTTTCTGCCATGACAATAACCAAGAGTTGGGTTTGTTTTTGTTTCAGTAAAAGTGGAGAATGACATAAAGTGGTCATTTGTTTTTTTTAGTTGAGTGATGTAGAGGTTTTAAATTAAAACCCCATGATGGAAATTTTCTACTTTAAGGGGCAGTTCATAAAAATAAAAACATTATTTAAAAGTCACATATGGATAAAGTTATAAATGAAAAAAAGTTTGGATGAAAGTCAAAGCTTTTGAACTATAATAATCAAAATCCATTTATGGTGTACAGGCCAAATTATTTGTTTAGGCCCATATTCAAAGATGTTGGTTTGAAAAAATTGCCCTTTTTGCTGGAAAGGGTCCAAAACTTATCATGGTACCATTACTGTGATGTATCCCAAGTTGGATCAACTGAAGGAGTAAAGAAAATCCACTTTTTTGGATTATGACAACCCCCCTTAAAGGGATAATAACTCTTCGTTTGGGCCAAAAAATGAATTTTCCTGGAGTAAACAAGAATTTTCCCATACTTACCAATGGTTAATGCATCCATTTTTACATTCAAAGTTAGTCCCTGGTTTTTTTCTAAAAAGTTTGGTTTTTTGTTAAAATCTCTTAAGAGATTTTAACAGAGTATAGCCATCAGTGGAGGTCACGTGGTCTAAAGACAAGCTCAGATATCAGAATAATAGCTATAACTGCCGTTTTTGTGGTAAAACAGGATATATTATATTTCTATGAGTTATTCACAATATTTTTATTGTGAAATATAGATCTCATACGAAGAGTTATTATCCCTTTAAGCATCCCACCCTTCAACATTGCTAGCTACTTATAAATATTAAAATCACCTTTTAGGAAATTTTTCTCTTTTATTTAGAAAAGAAAGAAAGACAAAACCCATTTAATAACATATAATCAATATTTTATTGTACCAGTAAAATAAAGGTATTTTAAGAAAATGATATTCTGAAGTGTTCAAACTGGCTGCCACAGAGATAATAATAGATGTGCACTGACAACCCTGAAAAATGAAAGATGAAAATATTAAAATATAATTCAGTTAAAATGTGTTAGCTGTAAAAAGATGTTGACAGTAACTCTATAACCAACAGCTCCTGGCTCCTATCACATAATTACTGCTTTCATGTACAGTTTTACCAGCTGACTAAGTTTTTCTCCAAAACTCTTTAAATTAACTTTGTTATGATGTCATTAAAGCAAGGAAACAAGAAAAGAACTTTCTTGTGACTGTATAATGAAACCGTTTTTTTATAAATACTGTATTTTTTTTTTCATTTCTAAATGTCTGAAATGATTAGTTTTAATAATGAATGATAATAATTATAACCATTTATGTTCTTGGCCTGCATCTGAACCAAGATGTGAAAAGACTTAACATCCTCCTCCACCTTGATTGGCAGCAGTCCTTGGGAGCTGAAATATATGACACAGTATTACTTACTAATATGCAACTAGAGGATCAGAGAGGCGATACCGCCTCTGAATATTGTACCACCAGCTGGAGTAAGTGCGATCGTATAGACCCCCCACACACACAAAAAAGGGACACCACCACCAGTCTTGTGCTTGAAAAAATGCAATCAACAAGAATTCTCAATAAATGCAATATATATATATATATATATATATATATATAACTAAAAATGGTACAATCAAAGTTTAGTTCATAGTAAGGTAGGTCAAAGGTCAATTTCAAGGTCACAGTAAATTTTCAGTATATGACTTCCTATTCAAGTTCAATAGCAACTATGGACCTATCTCTGCCAGTTTTGGAGATAAAAAGGAACCAAAATTTGTAAACTTCAATTCATGATGAAAAGTAGGTCAAAGGTCAATTTCAAGGTCACACTTAGATTGACAGTATATGACTTCC